CGCTCATAAAAGTCCAAGCGATGCAGTGACTTCGGAATCGCGCCTGAGATGAACCGCTCCACCCGGGGTTGCGACCGACATATTCCCAGATTGATTGACGCCGATCGGGCTGCCTTGTAGGCAAGCGCCGGAGTGATGCAGATGGCGAGTGACGATAGCGGGGGAGGAGGAGGGGGGGGGGCATCCAAAAACCGCAGCCCAGCCGCGAGGATGTGCACCTCCGACTAATGAAATTGGACTTGTGAAGTCAGCAACACGCTCAGCTTGGCTGGCGACAGGGGATTTAACGCGGCAATTTGTCCGACTGCTGGCAAAGTCACTGAGGAAACATTGAGCTGTCACCGCGATAATAAAGTTGGATCGGCGAGGCATCAAATCGCCAGGCAATCAATGATGTCGCTCGTCCTGAGCCAGCTTTTTCCATTCAAGGTGATTCCGCCGTGGCCCGAGAGGTTGAAAAAGGGGAAGGGGGAATGCCCGCAAATTGGATTGGAGTCAACCTCGGCTCGCCGTGCTTTCCGCGCTTTGCGTCGGGCCCGTCGGCCAACGAGGCCGTTCACGCGCTCGGAAAGCTTTTGCCTCACATTTGACACTCTTCCGTGGCGCTCGCTTTTCCTCTCCGTTTTACCATTCAGCCCTTTGTCCCGCTCCCTGTTTTCCCTTGAAATTGGAAAAAAAAAACCAGTTTTTCTACCCTTGATGGCAGAACTCACTCTTTCTTCCTTTTTTTTTTCCTAATTTTGATAAAAGGCTTGAATCAGAACTTGTAAGTTGTCTAAATCTTTTAAAAACGAATCTTGATGGCAGAACTCACTCTTTCTTCCTTTTTTTTCCTAATTTCGATAAAAGACTTGAATCAGAACTTCTAAGTTTTCTAAATCTTTAGACCGTATTTTCCGCACGATAAGGCGCTTCGGAGTATAAGTATATTTTTCCACTAGCTACTTTTTTGTCAGTACATATGTTTTGACCTTTACTTCTTTACAGAAGTGTCTGTTGTATTTAAGTACAGAGTGTGAGTAATGCAGTCCAACAGTGTGTTGACCACTATCGCTTTCATGACCGCATTTCAATTGTCCCTCCCCGATGAATAAAGTGCACCGCTGCAAATCAGTGACGGCCAAGACCGGCTCCTCATCTTGCGGCGCTTATCTGCGGCCGAATCTGTGCTTGTAATGGGGCAGCGTCTGACTCGGTCGCCTTCCCCTTGCCCCCGATGACGCTGACGCGGGCGCTGAGTAATTTGCACCCGCAGCCCCGCTTTGATGCGAATGTCACGGCAAGGAACGTGAGAAATTCCCCCCTAAAGATGACGTGTCCCGATAAGGTTAGCGTATGCGCCTGGTGTGGGGCCATTATGGGGACGTCGCCACAATGCCGCTTTGTGTGTGTGTGAAAAAAACAGAATGTGTGCAATAAATTGCCAGTCACCTCATTCCTTTTATTTTTTATTTATTCATTTATTTTTTTCTGGTAGGGGGGGTGTAATCATAAAACTTTTCTTGGCTGTACAAAATTCATAAACAAAGCCCATGATTGTAATATGAGGACTTTATACTGCTCAAATTATCATCTTTTTTTTTTATTTTTATTAGACTTCATTCTTTGCGAATTATGACTTTTCTTGTATTACTAGTACTCTACTTGTGAAATTCAGATTTTAGTGTCATTTTAGTTTTACTCTTGTGAAATTATTATTTTTTGGAGTAACCCGAACCCCCAGCCTTGACCACCAACCCTAACCACTAAACCCCAACCATAAACCCTACCAGCAACGCTAACCCCCAACCCTAACCCGAACTCTAACTAGAATCCACAAACCCAAAATCCAAACCACAACCCAAACCCTAACCCCCAACCCTAGCCCCAACCCGAACCCTAACTCCTCACCCAATTCCTTACCCTAACCCCTCACCCCCAACCCTAACCCTAATCTCCACCCTACCCTCTAACCCCAACCCTAACCCCCAATCCTAACCCCAACCCTAACCCCTCACTCCCAACCCTAACCGCCCAACCCTAACCCCAAGCCGAACCCCCAACCCTAACCCTTAACTCCTAACCCCCAACCTCGAGCACCAACCCTAACTACCAACCCTAACCCCAACCCAAACCCCATTCCTCACCCTAACCCCCAACCATAACCCCGACTGCTAAACCCCAACCCCAACAAAAACGTATGGCTGTTGCAAAATTACGATTTTTTTTTTTCCCCATTTCGGATGACTTTATTTTTTTTCTAATTTGATGATGTTAGTCTTTTAGAACAAATTTTTTCTTCCCGCTTGTAAGATTGGGATTATTTTTGTGAACAGACTTTTATTTCATCATGATTTTCCTTACTTTAATGTGGAGATAAAACAAGCAAGAGACAAACAAGACAGGAAAGTACATATTCATTTTCAGTGTGTCGAAATAAATGACAAAATATAAATAATGTGCAGTTGCTATAGTAACTTGAAGTAATTGTCTGAGTACTCCAGTAACTATATCCCGCCGCATCGCTTTCAGCAGACGTTCATTTGAACGACCTTGCGTTGAAGTACCCGCTGACTGTTTTTTTGCTCAATTTTGCGGATGTTGTCATTGTTTTGTTCCGCTTCGATTAGTTACATCGCCAAATTGGATTAGAGTTAATTCGCTTAGACGCAGCAATGTAATGCGCACCATTTAGGCTCCGCTAAAACGAACGTGAACGAGCGACAGATGTGGGGAGGCTTTTTGCGAAACCGCGAGCAAAAGCCGAACACGGCTGGCGGGCGCTTCCGATGCCATGTGTTTGCAATCTGCTGGCAAAAGTAAACGCAAAAAAAAAAAAATAAAAATAAAAATAAAAAAATCGACTTGTGTACTGAAGTAAAAAAAGTATAGACTGACAAAAATTGAAAAAATTATTTCTAACCCCAAAATAGAAAAGTTTATACTATATTAAAAAAAAATCATCAAGTGATAAAATAAATTATAAAATTCTTATGACTTTAAAATGAAGATGACTATTTTTGTCAGATTTATTTTTTACATACTTCATCATATTTATTCTTGTGACATTCCTATACTTGAAATTTTAGGATTTCATTCTTGTTAAAAAAAAAAAAAAAAACGGTGAGCATTATTTGACTTCATTCTTGTAAATCCATGCATAGCTCTAATGTATTACTGACCCCGTTATAATTGTACGTTTCTATTTTTTTTCCTCCCTTTTCTGAAAGAAATCAGATTTTGTTCTGGCTTTTTTTTTGCGGTATCGTGATATCGGTTCAGAAAATGGATGGCCGGATGATTCCGACTTCATTCTTGTAAATGTATCCACCTGAAATAAAGCCATCTGCAAATTCAGTCCAGAAAGCAAGCATTTGTTGTTTGCTCCTTCCCACTGCTAATGTTTACTTTTGCCTTATGTCATCCGGCGAGCAATCTGCGGCCGCAGTCCAACGTTTTTTTTGTTTTGTTTTTCTCCCCACCAAACGTGAATTTCGTCAATGGTGCGTGGCGAGAAAGGCAAGCGCCATTGTTTTAAAATGTTGAAAGCCTCATTTACATGGTGACTCATAGCGGCGCTCATTGGAACAAGATGTTGCTTTGGATTGTTTTTTTGGAAATGATGTTTGTGAAATTTCCAGAGAAGAGCGGCTATTAGCGTAACGTGCAAACATACGACTACACGGAAAGCGAGGATTATAAATGAGGCAATCATACACGCTGGATTCCAGCGCTTTGCACGCAGCGGCCGGGCGAAGCGCCTTTTTGGAGGTTTGCGGCTGAAGTAATAAACATTCCGTTGATGTGGATCTTACCGCCTGGTGGTCGGGGGGAAAAAAAAAAAAAGAAATTTATGTCTGGTGACTGAGGCAAAAGTTGTGGCTTGCTTGTAGTCAACTCTTGGACTCTTTCATATCCTGTACAATATCCCGAGGCTTAATATGTATTACGGGGTTCCCTCACTTTACCGCTGTTCATAGAAGAGATTTTTCTTTTTTTTTTTTTTTTGATGAGTCAGAGAAGGTCCCCAATAAGCTCCTTCCCACAGAGCAAATACAATATATGCCTGTGAGATGTGTTGTATGTTGTTTTGTATGCATTGCTGCCCCGTGGGTGAAAGTGGCAGTTGTTTGAGGCTTTACGATTTCAGTAACATCGATACGATACTAATTTCTGTTCACGCATCGATGACATCGAAGCCTTTCGTTTAGACATAATTCCAGATTATGGGGAAGCTTTCATTCCCTTCTGTTTTATTTGTCAGTACGGTGGACGTCAACTGGCTGATGTTTCAGTTGTGAGCAACAAATGAAGGTACAAGCGCAAAATGGAGAAGCACACGACGTGAGCCGTTTGGCACAACACTCCAAAAAAAAAAAAGTCTTCAAACTGTTTATTGCCACTCGCAGTGAAAGTTGACTGTAGAATTAAACAGAAAGCAAAAAGTAGTTGGTGTTGTCCATTTAGCAAAATGCTAACACACAAAGCAAATCGCCATAGGGACGCTTACGAAGCTAGCATCAATGCTGCCTTGCCTCACACCCTTCAAGCGGCGGATATTTGAACACAAAGCTTGCAGCAACACACGTAGACAGACAGTAGAGCAGTACTCACAGACATATATTCTTCATCCCAAACGACCAATATCGCTGCATCTTACTGACTGTCTTCTTTTCTATATGTATGCTCCACCCTTGGTAGCAGCACAATAACGATGCATTCTCTCTGTTTGCTGTTTACTGTATGTTCTTGTTTTCATCACTTAAATTACTGTCCAGTGCTATTTTTTCTCAAAAACACTTTTTGTTGGTGGGATTGGAAGGACAGGAAAACAAATTCACTCGAAACCGCCAGCGTGTTGCCCGTAAGGATGAAGTGTGAACGAAATACGTCGCATTTGACCAAATCCTCCGTCTTGATCGAGTTCATGTTTGTGTGGTTGGCGCTTCGCATTCTTCCGCTTCATTTGGCAAACACTCATTCCTCCCTCTCTCTCTCTCTTATTTCTCTTTTGTGCACAGGCTCTGCAATACTGTTGCCATGGCGACAACGGCCCCTCCCTCTCTCCTCCTGCTCTGCTGGCTGCTCCGAACAGCCTGCTCCTCGTTCCCCGAGGAACCGGGCCCTTTAAACTTCATCCCCACTGAAGGTATGGACGTTCTCCCACTATTTCCCCTACAGCACTGGCAAAAGTATTCACAGTGTGTACTTGTGGAGAAGTGGAGGAAAAAAAAAAAAAAAAGAAAACCTCACAAGTTGTGTTACTAAGTTGAGGTCCTGCCTTTGTGTTTTGTTCCACTGTTCCCTTCACCCCCTTCTCAAGATGTGTGAGTCGCTGCGGTCTCGGCCTCACGCGTAAGGTGTTGAAGTGGGGGTCAAGGTCATGCGGGTGGGGCAAGGGTCACTATGGCTGTGATTGCGGAGGCCAGACACGTTCTCACACAACGGGGGTTGCGAGTGTGGAGTGGGTGTGGAAAGGTGGCCGCTCGCATTTATGACTTTCCCCACACATGTCGTCGGTGTCCCTGGAGACGCGAGACCCACCCCTTTCGCACTCAGACTTGGAGTCTCCACGTCAGCTCAGCGGTCTCCACCGAGCACCAGACCTGGATCGATTGCGGTTCAATAGTATTGACTGATGGCTTCCCAGCCTACTTAATGTATCAAAAGCAAAGAGTCGGCCATAGAATCGGTCATGCCCTTAGTAGCGGTTGGACGAGTGCAGCCTTTCCCACACTTCAGCATCCTGGGGTGTGAATCAATGGCAAGTACCAGGGATGGAGCTATGTGGTGGCCAGTGGTGGCCACCGCCACCTTTGGCCCTTCTCTAGCTACCCCACATAGAAGAAGGTTTTAATGGACAGGACTCAGTGATGTGATGGATTGCTTTATTCGATCAGCTTCAGTTAAAAAAATAAAATAAAATAAAATAGGGTCTTCACCCTATTTTATTTTAGCTTATCAAGCTTATGCCATTTTTAAAATTAATTACTCGATTAATTTCTTTTCTTTTCTTTTTTACAAAACAAACATTTTAACAATGGACCCCTCTTTGAAGAGCAAAAAAAAAAAAAAAAAAATCTCGTTCCATGAAAACATTCCACCCAGTCAAGGAAACAAAAATGTTCTATAATTATGCATTTTCTTTCACACTTGGCTCATAATTTTGTCAGTACTTTAAGTTCAAACGTTCTTTTCAAAGGTAAAAATTGAACCACACGTTTTCAGATCATTGTTGTAATTATTCCGCAAATTTTCACCTCTTAACGGAGAGACATCTTTGCTTTATGTTCGTCCACGTCTTGTGTTTTTCAAGTCACCCTTTAGAATTACCGGATTTTAATGCTAATTTCATTAGCCCTTCAATGGCATTTGGCATAATGTATTAGCATTAAGCTAGCGGACTCAAGCAAAAGGTGTATGGCTTATTGGATCACAAATTACTCATAGGAATTTACTCGGTTTTGCACTTTGGCATCGCAGAGACTGAAATATGTCTACGTAAGCAAAAAAGAAGTCATTTGAAGGCAAGTATTATGTAGATTCATGCAAACACGATCAAAAGACATGAGAATGGAGACACACCACGCTATAGAATTGTGATTTCCCAAAATAGCTGCATGAGAGCAGTCACATGAAATTGTCGTTGCATTTTACACGGAACCCAGCCAAGGAGCGAGAACAATGAGCTCACGTGAATTAATTAGAATGAGATGACGTCAGCGCCAATGCCCGGTGTGACGCGACAATTGTTTTCATCACCACAGGGCAGGGAATAGGCGTGAGTCGTGATGTCAGGTATTCAACTCCGCATCATTACATTGCCCGGAAAAGTATGCTTCAACGGTAGACAGGAAGAAGACAATGACTGGCACCGCAGAATATGACAGATTCATGTGAATAAAAATAATTCGGATAGCAGATGAGCACTAAAGACTAAATATAGACCTGAAGAGGAAATCGGATGAAAGTGGCGCATAAAGAAGTAACGGCGCAACAGTTGAGGTCCCCTGTGGTCAGACGTCTGCGGGTACTTTGTTGTTTTGGTTGTGATATACGTGCTTAGAATGAACCCTGAATATGGAATATATTCTCTAAAGATATGAACCACAGGGACGCAGTTTGTGTATTTGCTGTTGATGAGCATCTGTAAAGATTTACGGTTTGATGGCGATCTAAAATTGGCGAGTGTTAGCTTTGGCGAAGATGCCGCGTTGGAGTGAGCGCCATCCAATCTGCCGGATCACATTACAAATGACTCCTGTGTGTCTGAAATTGGATATGGCTCAACATAAATTTTCCCAAAATGAATGTCGGATGTGTGTGTGTGTGTGTGTGTGTGTGTGTGTGTGTGTGTGTGTGTGTGTGTGTGTGTCTTCCCCCTCGTAATAGTGTCAAGACGCTATCCGGTGTTTCTGGGCCGTCCGCACCACACGTGGCAGAGACAAGAGCCTCTACATATCCAGAGGGTCATCCAAGTCAACCGAACGCTCTACATTGGAGCCAGGTACGATCCCCCCCACCCGGCAAGTAAAACCTCAAAACCCCATTTTGGGGGAAACAAGAAGAGACATTGAGAAGGGACCGCAGAATGGAGAACACTATTGGATGCGAAGTAGGCAACATTTAATGCATACATTTGGGATAACACAATTGGGTGGTTGGGGTGAAGCGGCAGTAAAACAGGCCAAATGTAGTGTTTAACTCATTGCAACTGTCTGAATGTTTTACCGCGCTCAAGAAACAGCCGAAAAGTGCGTAAGCGACTGTCTGAGGGGGATGAGAAGAAGGTGATGATGGCAGTCGCTGGTTTGGGCCACTCCAATCGCTGCTTGTATGGAAAGATTCAAACCAGTGGCGCATCGGCAGAGCACAAATGGTGATGGCGAAAACAAAATTGATGTCAATGCCATTAATCTGAGGAGCAGAAAATTTGTTGATTAGCCAGCACCCTCAATGATCACGTTCACTCACTTCCAAGGAATTTACGAGAGGCTACCTCATCTTTTCGAATGACACGTCACACATGCAAACCATTTTTGGTGCCCTCTTCCGTCAGTCACTCTGCCCCTGGTCGTAGTTTGTTTACTTGTGGTGACGTCACAGTGATGTCACGGTCTACAGATCAAACGCAAGACAGCCAATCGTGTCGTAAACGCCGAAGAAGAAAATGTCGAAAATTTATGACGGAACATAAAATCCCGACATGACATCACAGCCATTTGAAATCGTTTTTCTCTGAAGTCATCCCAACTCATAATGTCAAATGTCTGTTTGAAGAGAACTCTTGATTTGTGACTCGTGCGAGACAACAGCTCCGCGGCTCCGTTTGGTTCGTCGCTCTGCTGACTTTGCTGATCCCCGGACAGACGAAAAAAAACAGCCCGCTCGGCAGCATTCGGTTTTGACTCTTGAAACGCTTTCGTCGCTCCCTCGAGGCATTCGGCAGCCGACCCCAAACCCCGAAGATTTACGGCACACGTTTTCCAAATTCTAATTTAGCTCAAAAACGTGCTAAAAATCTATCAACGGCCATCCCCGCATGTGGTGCTGGTTATTGTCTGTCGTTGCAGTTCCCAATACGGAGAACCTCTCCGAGCCAGGAAATGACCCAATCGCTGGCCCCCAGCTGCTCCGACCTTACTACCGAGAAGCAACGTAGTAAATATATCAAACTTTGTAAACTCGTTCCAGCCATTCTGTCTGCACCGGGAGGATGTGTCTTCGCATGCGTGTACACGGCCCGCTCATCAAAAAAAGCACAGCTCCTGCGGTCGGCGGGTCATCGTTAAAAATATAGCCGACCCTAGAAAGTCGAAGGCTTCCAAACTTGAAAGTTGATCTAAATTGTTGTCGAAAATATGTCCCGAGTCGCCAAAATAGTAGCCGGAACTCCAAGTGACATCCAAACAAAATCAAGAAGCAGTCCCGCGTCTCTCGGTCCCCATGTTTTTCTTTTGGATGCTTTTTTGGCGCAAATACTCGTCGGTCAGAGTGAATTACTTTCAACACAACACTGCAGGAGAAGTGTCGAGAAATGGATTATAAAATGAATATATATAAAAATAGGACGGTATTGCAGGCACTTTTCGTACACCTTGAGGTTTGTGAATAGCGAGCTTTTACCGTTCCTCCAAATAATTTGCCGTATCATCCATTCGTCCTGAAGACCCTTTTACCCTCCCTTATAAAAGACGCCATTTTCCTGCTTAAATGGCACCGACAGGGAACGGGGAGTGACAAAGTTGCCCGGCGAATATTCTGCCTTTTTAGGGGCCGTCACAGAAGGATGGAGCACGGCGAAAACTTGGCATGCAGGTAAATCCCAGCTTTGAAAGGTGACGCTAAAGGGGCTTTTGGGCTTTAACAAGGACATCATTTATAAGCCGTGGAGGAACGGAATATGTGCTTAAAGCCGAAGGGTCTAGTTTGCGGTCCGGTTTTGATTTTTTTTTTTTTTTTTTACGATTCACAGTAGTTCCTTGTGAAACCTCTTTATGCACTCGCGTGACCGTTAACAATGCTAGGGTTGATTTGAGAAGTGACTCTGCGTCCGTATTTTTCTGAGAGACGTGAAATGGAACGAGATACCCGTGGAATAGAAATCACAAATTACAGAACCCCGTTTGCTGGTATGCTCACATTTGAAAGCGCAGTCGTAGCGGCATAGCACTCAGCCAGTATGCTAATGCGGCCTTACAGGTGCAGTGCCGTCACATGACTTCATTTTGCATTTACGGACTACTTTGTGTAACTTTTGCCTGAAATGGTTGGCTCACTAAATGGCACGAGTGTCATTGTCCAACTTCACAAGCTCCGTTTCTTTAGGGTTTTTTTTGGCAGTGTTGACACTTACGCTTCAGCTAGTTAGCATGTCTTGCTAACGGCTAACTCAGCGGCTAACACTGGTTTATTGTTATTGATCTCAGCAAAGCTGAATCACCGTTCGAGCAAACACATAATTTGTGATCCTTTATTACTGTTAACTCATAAATGGCGGCTGTAAAAAAAAAAAAAAAAGTTTTCATAAAAGCATGACCACATTTGAGATTGTACGGCCTCCTGCCTATTCATCTTTTATCACTTGTGATAATATCCAGCACAACATCACTCCCTCCGGTGCGATATTGCTGAAATGACCGGCGAGACAGTGGGATTCAATGTACAGAAACGTTCTTGAAATCGGAGCGGTTATCCGATATGGGATGTCTCAGCCAAGCGGATGCTCGTAAAAATGCTAACCGCCACAATGTTATTTGAGCACGGCAGAGCAGGGATTTATGCCGCCGAAAAGGAAGCCTATATAAGTTTTAATGTGGCCAGCAGTGTTTGCGGCTCCCTGACAGAAACAGATCCGCGTGTAAATGCGCAAGTCGGTGCGGCAAAGGGGTTTGACAGAGTTTCGAAATAACGACCTCGCGCGATGGCAGCTCCGACTGCAGCCGAGTGCGCACCTTGATAAGACGCCCCGCGCGCTCCTAAATCCTGTCACCATTAGCATAGCTGCCTCTCCGAGTGCAAGCGGCCGTAAATCCCTGGCCCCGAGCGCCTGCTGAGTGCACACACCTCTCCTGAGACGCTTGCCGTCTTCTCCAAATCAAAGTATTAAAGCCGGTTGGAGTCAGCAGCACTTCGCTGGTTTAAGCCCCCCCACGTCATTGCTGCCGAGTCACTTTTCAGTCTTCACTTAGTAGAGCCAAAGGGGTCGGCCACATGATCTTTTTTTGAGGGGGGGGGGGGCGCCGGAGGGTTGGGGGGATGGTGGTGCTTATTTTTCCATCCATCCATCCAACGTTTGAAACAAAAGAAACTGTTCGATACACTGATGCAACGAGCACTGCTGTACATAATGCAGTTACCCTTTATAAAACCTGTTTATTTCTTTCCATTCTCTTTTACTATGTCTTTGCATAATGCGGTGGCATTTTTCTTTATTACAAAAGTAAATAAAAATATTGTTCGGGTGGCGGGAACGGATGAGTGGCATTTCGGTGTGTTTTTCATTGTGCATCAAATTCAGTCACAAACTTTTCATCACGGCAGAAATGAAGCAGTCGGAGTTCCTTCCAGACAAATAACAAGTGACTTTTTCCTCAAGCGTTGCAGCGTGTGCGTTAATGTGTGTAAAGGAGCTGACTTGCAACATTCATCAGCCCACACACACACACACACACACACACACACACACACACACACACACACACACACACACACACACACACACACACACACGAGAGGTCAGCAGGAGCTGTGGGCAGGTCGAACGCCACACGGCAGACGGACAGACAGACAGGCAGGCAGACAGATGCACAATTCAGCGCAGTTCATATATATATATATATATTATCAAGGTCAAAACGTGGCAAATGGCTCGAATGCTGTTTTCAGCCTTTTCTTCTCTCGCCGTCGTCTGAATGTGCGCTGCGCCCGATGAAAAAGATGTTATGTCAGGTTAGCTGTGTGCTTCAATTTCCATTTTGATTCGCAAGTTGTTTCAGAAATGGACACAGTGGAAATTCAGACACGGTTAACATTTAACAATTAGCCGGTCGCTAACATTTTAGGGACTGGCTAATTAATTGACTTTTCCGTTCCTCGAATTCTTCAATCAGCCTTTTTTGTTTGGCTGGATTACTCAAAGGCAGCATGACTAAACGTTTTGTACGTCGCTGTGAGAAAATGTCAAATGACAAAGCTCGGTTGAGGCGGAAAGTGATAACATGTTGGAAAGCTGTCATTAGCTAGCGGGCTAGCCATTATGTTGTACTTCAAAGACCAGCACACTCAGCATTTTTTTTTTTTTTTTTTTACAGACTGCCTTCCGCAAACCTAGCGATGATGTTTCCTAATCTGTTCACTTCGAAATTTATACTCCACCATCCGCTTGACGTTACGCACAACAGTCAACAGTTTTACGATTGTGATCAGGAGGCGCCTCTTTATCAGTTTGTGTGTGACAAGAGCTGCCGTAGTTACTCAGAGGACCTTATGCTGCAAACCGCAACGTTTTTCGTGTTTGAATAAAACTAAAAAAGACGACTTTTGGTTTCTCGATTTATTACTTTAATTTGACCACAGTTAATTCTCAATTCTTAAAACCTCACGGGTGTTCAATTGCGGTCCTGTTGAACAGGGATTGGAAAATAGTCCACAAACTCTGCCAGTTAACTTTCCTAAAGGTCCTTCAAAATATATTCGTGCAACATGATGCCAGTTTGGCTCGGAGAGAGACGGCAACGTTCCAAGGGGGGAGAAGAAGAGTAGGTAACCATGTTGGCTGAAGAGCTCTTGACCCCTCGAGCCCGTGGTATTTGGAAAGCCAGAAGGTCAAAGTTCATCCGCCGCGAACGAATGAAAATGGATGTCTCTCTTGGGTAAAAGAAGTGCCGGGGTATTTGTGGAAATAATAGCTCGGGCACGTGCAAATCCGACTCCACGCGCTCACATTTATGCTCAAGACCAAAGGCGGCAAAACGGCACGAGACAGATTTGTAGGTTTTAAGAACTCGCGCTGTTTAGGTTGAGGCGCCTATGCGCAGAGTTATGAGCCATCCAAGGCTATGCGCACCTCCTGAAACATAAATAGCAATAAAACCACGACACATTTCACACATCCTCAATCTTAACTTTGTACCACATGCGGGGCCACGCGGCCTTTGCATCATTCAAACTGGCTGGCGTCGTCGAAAGAAGACGACCGCGCTGCGAGCTCGCATTAATCATTTTCTCTTCTCTCTGAACTCTCGGAATCTCGTTTCAACACTTCTCGTTACCAGACACTTTGATTGCAAGGTTGCGTCGCCAGGTACTATTTTTTTTTTTAAGTAGTAGATGATACAAATAGTTCAGCAGTGCTAGCAACACAGTTATGTGACGCCGCAAGAGGCGAAGAATGTGCTCCTGTATTGCTTTTTCAAGGTGAGCCCCGCTGAGAAAGAAAGGCTGACTGTCGGCAATGATTGAAATTCATTTTCAAAGTGGACTTCAGAAAAACAAGACATTGTGAAGATAAGTTGCACAAATCACTGGGCCTTGGTTCAACCCCGTAACGGATTTATTCACCACTTCTGCAGTGGCAAGAACGATGTGTAGCAGCTAGCTAGCTCTGATCATACCAACATTGCTAGCTAAAGAGGATGGAGTTTGTCTGGAAATAATAAACACCTCTGGTGTGTGTCGTGTTTTTCATTTCGTGTTATTACTCTTACTGTCGTGACGAGATGAATTATTTGTTGTAATGGAAGATGAACTGCTGAACTGTTTTGGTCAGATGTCACTGTGACTGCAGGTTTCCCAGAGTTAGCCGCCACTCAGCATTCAGAACAACCACAATTTTAGATTGTATGTCATTTTTTTTTTGCCCCCCAGTGAAGTTCAAAGACGCGCCATCATTTGTGACATGCAGTTATCGGCACCCCGAAAATACTCTCTTTTGGTTAGAGACGTTAGAGTGCCTCATCGTCTTCCATGAGCGCACGCACGGCAGAGAGACTAGATGGAAAAGCAGTGTAACCCATTTTTTTAGAAGGCCAGACGTGACAGACGGCATGTGACTGGCTTCATGCTGGCGTGATGATTTTAGAGCGCCTCGTTGCTCGCCATGAGTGCATGCACATCACAGAGACAAAGTAGAAAAGCATTTTTTTTTTTTTTTTTTTTTTTATCGGTTGTGACTGACTTCACTCTGGCGTGGCAGCTTTCGTGCGCCTCATCCTTGCGACGTGCATGTATTTGAGCCACAGGAGGCGTGAAATCTTCGCAGCTCCAGCATATAGTTTTGTGTCGACATGCGAGAGATGCAAGAAGAAGTAACAGCCATAGTAGTGTTTGATTGACAGTTGATATTGGAGGTTTCTATGCATTTAGCATGTTCTCCGATGAGTGATGTGTGATAATTTTAGGATTGTAGTTTGTGCTGTACATTATTTACAATTTAAACTATTCAAATAGGCAGTTTTAGGAGGGTTCAATTGTTTTTGAATTTTATTTTAGATTTATTTGTGCGCCAGGGCTTCAACCCTGCCCCCTTACAATAGTGGGGGCTTATTGTATTTGGACAACTGGGAAAGCTGTTTCCAATCATCGTGTTCAAATGTTTCTGATGTGCACGCGTGCATGACTTACCCCCCCGGGTTGAAATTTATGTTGGAGTCCAAGCACAGATATTCACTTGAATTTATTCTGGAAATGTTGACAGGAATAAGCTGCTTGGACATCATCCAAAACAAAAAAAGAAATGAGAAGTTAGAAAAAAAAATTGTTTAGCCGTCCCACGCCGTCCCAAGCCAGCAATAAAATGCGAGTTGTATTCTGCTCATCGCCGCCTTATCGTTGATTTTGTTGTTGGCCGACTGCCACGCCGCTTTTCCGCAGGGATGACCTTTTCCGCGTGGAGCTGGACATCGCCGCCGCAGATGAGATGTTCTACAGCAAGGTGAGCGCCTCCCGACCACGGCGTGCCGCCCCGCGCCTCCCAGGAATTTTAACGACCTCACGAGACGTTGTGGACACGCCGAAACGTTTTGACCTTTTTTGTGCTTCCAGAAAAGAACATGGGAGTCCAACAAGAACGACATCAGGATCTGCAGGATGAAGGGCAAGCATGAGGTGAGACGTTTTTGGTTTCTCAGATGAGTTAATAATTGTCGAGAGGGCTTGAGATGGGCCCGTCGGGCATGAATGTTCCATTAATGTTGGGCTTTAAAAAATATATATATATATATTAGAGCGGGACTTTTTCCTGGGTGGAATGATTGTGCAACATCTACATGTGCATCTTATTAAATGGGAATGTTGATAAAAAGTTTTTTTTTTTTTTTTTTTTTTTTTTGGTGGCTCCGTTCAAAATGTTATCAGGTCCTTGTCCAAATATGATCAGTTTCATCTTTTGTCACAAATCGATACTATTGTTCTGTCTCTCTGTTGTTTATTTATTTTTTTTTTATTTTTAAATAGCTTGAGAACAAATCTATGAACTCTCTCGGGCACTTGAACTACATTTTTGTTGCCTCAAGATTGAAAGTCTGGATATTATTTTTATTTTTTTCTTTTAAATGGGAACGAATGTAATCGTGGGAAATGAAAGTCGACGCAACTTCCCTTCATGGCAGACGTCCAAGAGAGTTCATCGATTTGTTCTCATTTGGGAATTGGTCAATAATGCGTGAAACGAACAGACAAAAAGTGTCACTTTATGCAAAAATGTTGACTTTTGGACACACGGGGTTTCCACCTTACAGCCACTTCACTATTCTACGTCTACGGTTCTAGAATGTCTTTGAACGTGACGAAGCCTTCTCCCATTCAGAATCATGAGTGACTATTCCAAAGCTCTAAGAAGAGAAAAAAAAAAATCACTTATGGATCATAAAACGTTTGGCCGTGATATTTGATTAAAATACGATGGAGAGCAAAGAGCAAATCCGACATTGAATCAAAGAAACGTATGACTTGACAAAGCAGCGGCGCGCAGTCTGCCGCTGACCCCCAAAACACCTTTAATTGAAGGATGTATTGATTTGAGAGTTTGGTTTGGCTCCATCTTTCTCTTCGCGGGAGCATGTTTTCGCAGACTTTCGGCACTCCCCGAGCAACGGCAAAAAGTCACGTTGGGGGAAAACAGCCCAGTTACTTCATTTGATGCTGAGCTATTGATGAAAGATAGCGTGTTCGGAAAATATGCCGTATCGTGAGAGCTTGCAACTTCCTCTCCTGACGTTCCAAGTTGTCAAAACGCGCGCAGTGTTCCGAGTCATTTCTTCCCAACATTTTATTCTCTTCCTTTCAGAGCGTTTCTATTGACCACTTGAAAGGATTTTGTCCAAACACGTTTTAGCCTCCGCGTGTTGCCATGTCAACCTCATCCGCAGGTCCTTTAGAATCAGTACGCAGGCCGACATAACTTCGACTTAATCAGAAGACTGTTTCTTGAACCGGTGGAGTTATCACATTTCTCAGTATTTTTCCGTTCTCTGACCGGTTGGGAGAAGCAAAACTTGGTCTGCGCTTCCTTCAGGCAAACAACACGCTCGAGCAACACCTGAATGCACCAAACAAAAAAATAGCAAGAAGAGTCTGCTCCGCGAGAGTGAAATGAAAAGACCTTCAGTCAAACGCGTCTGTTCGTGATCACACGAATTCAGCAAATACACAATTTGTGAAGAAACAGCCGGTCGTTGGGTTTTTATCCATCCGATTGTCCTCATCGGGCTCGCAAAGGGCAATTTGGAGTCTTCAACGAACCTCACATGGAGCCACCTCGTCCAGACTGCTGGCTGTTAATTGCTCTCACGGGCCCCCTAGTGGTCACGGGGCCCCTAAGCAGGTGTTGCATCCGCTTATGCCTTGGGCCGACTCTAATGAGGCAGACGTGCTAACAGTTAGTCGGCCACCGTGCTGCCCTGCCCTGTTTATTCTTTTCTCTGAAAAATCGGAGAGCTTTCCGTTTGAAAGGAGCGGGGAAGAGAGTGACATTTCACTTTTATAGTCAATTATTGTGTGTGCGTGCGTGCGCGTGTCCGCGCCCGTGTGCTGGCCATCCCTGAAAGGCTGACTCAGTAATGAAAGGTCTCCTGGCCTCTTAATGACGGGGCCGCCGGCTGTGCCGTGAGTCACGCGTTGGGAGCACAGATAAGAACCTGGCCACTTCGCTTCCATCCACTCATGAATGAAGCGGCGAGTGGGCTCGCGCGGCGGGAATCTCGTTGGAACCAAGATGCGCTAATCAATACAGGGAAATAAAAAAAAAAAAAAACATAAAAATCAACAGAGGAACGGACGCTTGAAACTCGAAAAAATGTGTACGTTGCCAAGGTATCACTGGAGAACACAACTCCAAAAGAATCCATTACATTTTGGTGAGGATTTGGATCTGGGTCTGACTGTTTTTTTTTGGGGGGGCGGGGGCGATGCATGTAAAGAAAAGAGCACTGTAGCTACTGTGAAACATGAAGGAGGCTCTGTCGCTTTTTAGTTGCACCTGGCACTGGATGCGTTGAATCCGTACAGGGTACGGTTTGGATTCTGGAGCAAAATGTGCTGTCCGCAAAGGAATTGAAAAAAAAAAAAGTTTTTTTATTAATTAATAAATCAATCAATCAATGAATACGCTTGGGCGACCCAGTGGTTCAGTGGTTAGCGCGTCGGCCTCACAGTGCAGAGATCGTGGGTTCGGTTACGGCTGCGTAGTTTGCATGTTCTTCCCCGTGCCTGCGTGGGTTTTCTCCAGGTACGCCGGTTTCCTCGCACATTCCAAAAAAACATGCGTGGCAGGTTCATGGAACACTCGAAATTGTCCCGAGGTATGAGTGTGAGCGCGGATGGTTGTTCGTCTGTGTGTGCCCTGCGATTGGCCGGCAACCAGTTCAGGGTGTCCCCCCCCCGCCTACTGCCCGAAGACGGCTGGGATAGGCTCCAGCACCCCCCGCGAGCCTAGTGAGGATAAAGCGGATCAGAAAATGGATGGATGGCTATATATGCGCTTGTGAGTAATGCTCTGCTCGTATGCGTTGCCGCGCTGTTTGTGTTCAAGTGGTACTCGTGTCAAGGTTTATAATTACCGTAACTTCCATGCTAATTTTCGTTTGCGCGGCGATAGCATAAAGCTAGTGGACTTTGCCTCTCCACGCGCTCTCTTGCTGATGTCCTGCCAACCTCGACTTGACGTTGCCTTTTTGGGGAGGTGGTGGGGGGCGTCTGGCTAGTGATGCTTGAGTAGCTACAGCAGCACTTTCCTCTCTTAGGTATTCCTTCATCCTTTGCGCCCCCTGACATTTTTTCATATTGTGATAGGAGGGTGGTGATCTTGTAAAAATGCTAATTTGCATCTAAAGCGAGATCCTGAAAAAAAAAGGAAGCAGAGTCACAATAGCAGAGGAAGCACAATGCACTTCCGTCGCTCACTTTTAATTGGATTAATCTCACATGAGATTGGGCCTGTTAGATCACAATCAAGTTTTTACATTTTTATTTTTTATTTTAATGAGTGACTACACACGCACTGTTGAAGGTGTAGGTGGGATCAACAAGTTTTGCATATACACCGTCATACATATTCATGACACTTGAGTTTTTTTTTTTTTTTTTTTAAACTGTTGTCTTTGTTTGGCAACCCAACACATACATTAACGAGGCGCGCAATTAAGCAGAAAAATCTCAAGCGCCTCCACAACAACACCGAAGAGTCTCCGCCACTTCAACCTCCTGCAAATGTTGGGGGGGCGTCTATGTGAGCGTGTGTCAGATGTGATACATTCACCACCTTATAATTGGTTTTGTAATTAAATGTTTCCGTCTGGCTGCTCACAAAGGACACAGAATTCTCCCTAATTAGGCAGAAAATTTTCACGTCCTGGTTCTTGACGCATTTTACCTTTCCCCCCCCCCCTCTTCGTGTTGTCCGGACGATTGTTGACGACGTTTCATTTGCATATTCCCGTCATGGTTGCCTTTGTCCTTGGCTTGTCACCATCTTTCTCTCTCTCTTCTCTTTTTTTTTTTAAGTCTCTCCTGCCCTTTTTATTGTATTGTCCTGCCACACTTTCCACTCCCCTTAACTCCTCATATTGAAAAGGATGAAGGAGGAGGAGGAGGAGGAAGGTGGCTGCGTGCCAGCACGTCATCACGAGTCACATGATGATGCCAACAGGCCATTTCACATGGAGAAGTGGGCGGGCAAACATGATGGTGGGAGTTTGTTCAGTATGGCGTTGATTGAGCTCTCCATGGGGCTCTGGGTTTTGCGGGGGAGGAGGTGTGTGTGTGGGGGGGGGGGTCAGGGGCTTTGGAAAGATGAGGCACGTAATATATGGTTTCGGGTTTCACAGCTCTTTAAGTACTCGTGGAAATCACAGCTGAAGTCGCTTCTACTCAGCTCACGTATACTAAAAATGTTGGTCATGCCCTCACATGTGGGCAAGGAGAGCCACAGTGGCCGATGCAATAACAGCAAAACACAAGAGTACAAAATGAGAACACTTGCAAGGATCTGCTGTAGGCCACCACTCACATCCAGACATTCACATTGTCCAGCTCATGATGTCACTCACCAGGTCAGGCCCCTCATTGCTTTTCAAACTTTTAATCTAATATTGTTTGTCAGATTAGTATTATGTGATATTAATATTCTATTATTTGTGTGTTTTTATATAATATGTTATATTTGTACAATACAGTGCTAATTTCCGTGCCGGTTTTCGGTATGTGCCACATGTGGAGCCTCACAGCTGTTCCCAAAAGAATGGCACGTGAATTGGTTTTCATCGTGAAATGGAAACTGTTGGCACATATATGGGGAAAACATCTGTATTTTTATTGCCCTACCTTTTAACAAACGTGACGTAAACCGTTTTTAACACAGCGATGCGACTTTCAAACAAGCGGCTCATCATTTGTGAATAAATGCGGAAATAATCTAAAGCGATCACTCTGTTATTATCGTGTTGAACGTCCCTCGCCATGAATCCTAAACAAGTCAGCTCGATGGAGACTCGAAATTGCTCATAGGTTGTGAATGTGAGTGGGAGTCAATTAATTTGCAGTTTTTATGGTCGCTCAGGTGCGCTTTTTGGCAGTCGCTGTAGCTCCAACGATTGTCCAGCCGTACAATC